AAATTTTTTATACAAAATCAAAAATACTTTTTCCGCAAATTAATTATTAAGAATTTACAGTCTTTCTTTGTTGAAAGAATTTTTTAAATTTTGATGCAGCTCGATTGCGTGTTGCAGAGAAGATGATTATGCGGCTTGTCTGTTGACGCAATAAAAACATGAGAAGACTTAAAAGGCGCGAGAACAATTAGAGAAACACGCGGCTCAGCCATGATCGAAGCATGGTCTGATGCTAATTGCTCGCCGAATCACGCATTTAATTAAATATCAAACCATTTGATAACGATATAAATTTCTGATGGCGTGGGAAACTTTTAAACTCGCAGCGCCAATCAATTTCGGCTCAACAATGGAACCGTTTTATTTCGGAATTGTGCGAAAACAAGCACGTGAGAATTGCCATTTTTTTTATGAGTAAAAAAAGGCGGATCGAGTGCGTGAGAGACGCGGTTTAGGCCTGAAACCTGAAACTGCGTCAGTGTCACTCGGCTATGGAGCATTAGCTGAAATGTGACCTCTCGTGGTGGCTGTCATAGATTTCCATGCAAAAGTCAAACCAGTTTCGCAACGACGTGATTCATTGGAGCAAACAACTTTTTTATAATGAAAAATGTGGACATTTTCTAATATTGCAAAATGAAAGAAATTGAAATTTACAATTTTTTTATGTAGCACTAAAAAAAAACAAAAAGTTTCAACAGGGGATTTAATTATATTAAAAATTTCAATATCATCATCAATAAAATTAAATGTAAATTATTAAACTGTGAATCAAAATTTTTTCAAAAGAAAAAACAACATTAAATATTTGGTAGAAATTGAAAAAAAAAGTATATTTTGTAAAAAAATTGACGAATTTGAATTACAATTGATTTTAGTTTAAATTTAAAAAGTTTTTCATGAAAAATAAAATTTTTGTTGGGCCTAAATAAAAATATAAAAAATGCATTTGTCCTTGCAATTTTAAAACTTGAATCGAATCTTTCAGATCAAATTATTGATTAGTTTAAAAAGGCGCGACGAGCTGGAATGGTCGCGGCTGCAAATGGGTTGGCCTCGCGCGGCGTCAAAGGCCAAGTGGAATCGAATCACGTCCCAACTCACATGCCTCGATTAACAATTTGCTTCTTGTCTTTACAAATCGTCCGGTTAATTTCTCTGCACAGGCCATAAAGTAATACAAAACTAATTGCGAGCGTGCTTCTGATTCCTCAAAACTCAATATTGGGCTCAAGGGCTGCTGCGGTCGTTTGGGGTCAAAACGAGGAGGCGCTAACGTACCACGGGCGCATCCTGTCTTGCGGTCCGACCGACCGACACAATGGAAACAGGTTTGCCGCCTGCAAAAAGCCCATAAACAAGCTCTGGTCCATCGCGCAAAAGGACCCCAGAGCACCACATTCAATTAAAAACTTATTTCAATTTTTGGATGCAACTTTTAAAATGAACTGGGCAAAAGGAGGAGAGTAAATTTTAAACATTGAATTACTAGATTTACTAAATTATTAGGTCCATGATTTTAATGAAATTTAAAATTATTGGTTTATGAAAAACGCCGACATTTTTTTATGCAAATTAACTAAATTCTGAAAAATTTCATGCTTTTATTATAATATTGTACTTAAGTTCAAGCTTCTTTTCTAAAATTTTTGTTTTAAGTGACTTCATGATTTCCATAAATATTTGCACATATTTTTCATCCCAATTTTAATTTCAATATTTACAAAAAAATTTCCTTCTCCGGTTCGACAGTTCAAAATAAATACATTAGCTCGAAGATAAATCGCGGAAACGCTTCTTTGCATTGCAACGTCTTTCTTTCTTTCTCCCTCGCTCCAGTTATACTCGTGTGTGCATTAAAATGAGAATCGCATTTACGAATCTGTGCCCGGCGGCGCAATCGGTCGATGCAGAGCGATAAGGGTTTTTGGCACAACCAGAGCGCTCGCTGCAGAGAGCAAAAAAGAATTGCTCTTTCAATGGCTATTCAAAGCGGCGTATCTGCACACTGACGCAATCGGCATGACACAGATTTTTTTCTCTCTCTCCATTAATTTCGAACGCCCCGATCGCCCCAGACGCCGTGTTGTTGTTTTTTCCGTCTCGTGTCCTTTCATTACACAATCATTCTTCGTAAAACTTCCAAATATTAATAGAAAAAAATACGATGCCATAAGTTAAAAAAAAAGATATAAAAAGTATTTTGCAAATTTCTTAGACATTTTTTTGAGATCATTGTTGTTTATTTGAAGCAAATTTAATAATATAAAAATGAGGAAGAAATTATCTTTATGGTTGAAAAAATAAGAATTTGGTGGTAACTTTTTCGTTCCTTATTTAGCGAATTAATTAAAGTTATAATTAGTTTTCTTACAGAGGAAATTTCTTTTTTGTTATCAGAGAAAGGAAAGAGATAAGAAATTGTTTTTTTTCCTTACAAAGGTCACGGAATTATTACGCACTTTTTGTTCAAATTAAATTAAGCGCTCGAAACAAGAAAGTCCGTAAATAGCGCAGCCAGTTTTCTGCTAAAGCGGTTCTCTGCACATTTTCCATTTTAATCGCGCGATAATCTGCGAAATAATATCGCAGCAGCTTAAAAGGAATCTGGGACAAACGAGTGGGTTTTCTTAATCACTAATGAAACTCGGCGCGGTACCGCACGATCTTCTGCACTTTCCGATTTATTGCCTCAAAGACTTTCAAATTGATTTATTTTCCCGGTTCAAATGCAAATAAATTGGCTGAGGGAAAAAATATATGAAGAGGCTTTTTATGTAGGTTAAGTTGGCGAGATCAATCATCGCGGTCGGTTGGCGCGACAACAAAACGTGCAGAGATTGATTTTTTTTTAATCTGCAAGTCTCACGACCCGCAATTGAAAATTAGGCGCAGTGAGAAATCGAGATCAGCTCGTGTGAATTAAAATTTTGAACATTCCTCAAAATTTTAATTGAAAAAAACTCCATTTTCTTCCCATAATAATTAAATAATTAATTTTTTATAATTTCAGCTTAAATTTTTAAATCTATTCCGTTTTCATTTTTTATTATTAATTTTTATAAATTTCAACTTAAATTTCTTAAATCATTTCCGGTTTAATTTTTGTTTTTAAATTCCTCTGCGTTTGGAGGAAGAAGCGGTCCGGCTCGAAAGGCCCGTTATTAATTGGATCGCATCACTTTGCATGCCGCGCCGCCGATCTCCGCCCTTAATGCTGCAATTGGCATTCCACGAGTCGCCTCTGCGCAATCCCGAGTCGCAAAAAATTAATTAATCCGCAGCCGGCGTGAAATTGGAAAAAAAGAGTTTTGTGTCCCTAGGAGGGAAATCTGTCTGGACTGCGGCCAACGGTGTCGCTGCTCGGAACTCCTCGCTTTCGGGACGTACCTTCGGAGATCAGGGCATTGTTCTTGAGGGCCGTCCTCCTCATGGCGACGCCGGCAAGCCCATCCTGCTGGCGATTCGTGTCCAAGGGCGGCGAAATTGTGCCAAAACGACTCGCGCGAGACGCACCTGTTTTGAAAACAAATTCGACTGCTTCGCTTGCTTTGCTCCTTTGGCAGGCAGAGCGAGCAAGGAGAGGCGGCCGAGGAGGGGAGGCTCGCGCAGGTATCGCGCTCTAGCCTCAAATCCAGGCCTCGCTCAGGCGGCGATTCGTGCCCCCCCCCCCCTCCCTTCACGGTCAAGGGCGATTACGCTCCTCTCCTTCCTTCCTTCTTATCCTTTGTAAATAAAGAAAGAAAAGAGAGACGCGAGCGAGGGCCCGTCGTTTTTTGCTGCTGCACACAATTTGTTTACTCTTCACTCCGCCACCACAGAGCAGGTCTTTCAGATTTAATTGTGCATATAGAAATTAAAATTTTTTTCTTCAACTCGCGGTCTGTGTTTGTTCTGTTCATGATTTCAAGTAAATTTTAGTTTTTAGGAAAAAATTAATTATTTTCTAATTAATTGTATTCAAAATGTAAACGACTGCGGCATAAACAAGAAGTAAAGAAAATATTATTATAATTTGATAAATGCAGATTCGAGACAAGAAAAATATATAAAAAAAATAGTTCATGATCCTAGTCATGATCAGGGTATTGCCGTTTGTCGAAATTTTTTATTTTTAAAAGTGGGATAATTAAATTTTTTTGGAAACATAAATCCGAATCTGTTTTGAAAAATTTTAAATTTTGGCATTTTAATTGGTTTTTAGAGCATTGGTTTTCTCGCTCAGTTGCGGAATCCACAATTTTTTTTTTTTTTTTTTTTTTTTAAATTTCATCTATTGATTGATTTTTTTTACAGAAAAAATTTATATTATTTTTATAATTGTCTATGGCATAGGGACATTTTAAGACAATAATTATAAATGCAAGAATCATGCTTGGAATCAGTTTAATTTAGCGCTAGATGAAGTAAAAAGCGGTAAAAAGTCGCAGGCGTATATTATGCATCAGGCGCACAATAGTAGAGGTGCAACGCAGCCAATTTTAATTATTCTTTACTCTCAACATATTATCTCAATTCTGCTGATTATTTTAAAGTAATTTCAGAAAAGCTCGTTTCAATTTTAAAAATAAAAGAGCCACTTAAATACATTTTTTCATAATGTTAATAATTAAATTACCAAAAAATACATCTTGTTAAATTATTATTTTTTTTTTGCATGTTATTCTCATTTTCAATACTGGCGAGAAGAGTAATAAATTTTTTTAATCAAAGAAAATATCCAGAACAGTCAAGTTGCTGCCAACAATATAACGAAGTGAAAAAACTTGCAAATATCCACATAACTTTGCAAAACAAAAACTAAAATCACACAAAAAATTTACAACTCAAATTAGTTCTCAATGTTATATAGCATTGATTCTAATTGCTGCGGGAAATGTAAATTTTATTCAAGTGAAATTTTTCATAATTTTAGCAATTTATGTTGAAATTGATAAGCTTATTGGATTGAGGTGATATAATGTATTAAAAATTATGAATTTAAACAAAAATAACTGGACTTGAAGGTTTTCATTACGTTTTATTGGCAGATAAGCAGAAATTGTTCGTACAAATAAACCCTATTAACAATTTTAATTATTTCTCCGTCAATTTCAGTTTCATTATAAAATCAAAATAACTTGACAAGTCTCACCTTGTTGATCAACAGCTTGAAGTTATTCAACATTCTTAAAGACAAGGCAGTGGTCAAGGTCAGGCAAGGCAACAGTGTTGTTGCCTTCGACATACCTCTTCGTTGTGGTGGGAAAGTGAAGTCCCAGCAGCTCGAGGATGTAGTTGCACTGGACATCATCTCTCCTGTTTCCCACGTACAACTCGAGGATTCTGTTGCACAAGTCCAGTTTTTCAGGGGTGCACCAGTTCAGAGAATGCTTCTCGGTAGTATTAAGCAAAGCCCAAAACTCCTTCAGCAGTCCACTCGTGAAATACTTGGGATTCTTCTCGATGAAGTCATGGACGAGAGGATGGTTCTCCGACAGAGGCCAATCCTCGCTGCAAGGCCTGCATTTGATGCACTTAAAGTTTGGCCCGTAGCAATCCATGAAATGCGCCTGTCTTGCGGCTTTGGGGAAGGCACTGTAGGAGAGGGAGGCGATGAAGAAAATCCTTTCGCCGGCCTCGATGGGCCGCAGGGCTTTGACCACGCTGGTCTTCAGGTAGGAGCAAATCACGGCGTTTGCTTCGCACCCTCTGGGCACGGACCTGAGTCTGGGGTAGAAGCCTTGGCCGACAATTTCCCCCTTGCCGATGAGTTTGTCCTTTTTGCGCTCCAGCACCACGTCACGAATGAGTCCGGTGTAAGTGAGGACGATGGGCATGGCCCTCCTGAGGAACTCGCGCAGACTGGCCTTCTTGTCCTTGTCGAGGCCGTCGATGCTCTCCACAACCATCTCGACTGTTTCTGCTTCATTGGCACTATTGTGGGCGACAATTTCTGTTTCAATCGGTCCCGCCTGCAAGTTCAAGAAGTCTTTGAGTTCAGGGGAGGCGTCGCTCGAGACTTGGCCATTGACGAGCGCCCCAGCACAGTTATCCACTCCAAAAACTGCCAGCATCTCCAGGGCCTGGTTGGACCCACCGATGACTTCGTGAATATTGTTTTTGTTGCCCTCTCTGCTGGCCACACGCATCTTGTTGAAAATCTTTCTGGCCGGGGCACACACCACTTTGTGGTGCTTCTGCCAGGCTTCATCTGCACACTCCTGGCTGCAGTACAACACCTAGAAAAATATGTATAATTAAAATAATACATTATATTATAAAATTTTATTTATTTTAGATGCATGCAAAGGCCATGCAAGAGTAAGTAATAGTCCAGATTAGGAGATTTTGGCGCAATTTTGAACATATAAATGCATAAAATTTCTTTCAATCAATGTCGGTGCAAAATTTCCACTCAAATTTTTTCTGCGTAAAAAGATCCATATTATTAAAAAATGTATTTTCAAGTTAAGCTGTTCAATGGCTTTTTGTTTACAGGAAAATAATGAAAACATTAGAATATTTAGAATGATCACAAGAAAAAATAAAGGAAATATGCATTTTAAAACTGGATGATAGTCAATAACCATTTTCTGACCTTTGTTAATGCAAATAATAATGACAAGAGGCTTGAGTTATTCAAGAAACGATCATTATTTCTTTCTAAACTTTCTTTTGGCACCAAAAACTTTTTTTAATCTATATATCTTTTATAGTAAGGGAAATGAGTTCAAAAATGACGAATGAAGGAAATTTAAAACTCATTCTCCCCATTTAAATATAAATGTTTTAGAGAAATTACCAGCAAGCAGGTTGAGCAAGGCTGCAGATTGAGGCACTGTTTGAAGCACTCTGAGCAATGGATCCAGCTGGGCTCGAGGCTTGTGATCATGGACGAGTTGATGTAAAACAAAGGGTCCTCGACGACCAGGACGTCACCTGCAAAAATTTCCAATTTATATTTTAAACATACAGCAAACAACAAAAAATTTCAAACCTAAGTTGATCCTCCTCTTGGCAACCAGACTGTTGTCCTCCTCGATGGTGAGAGCGTCCGACACTCGTGGGTCTTCAGGGTTTGGTCCGTAGCTCAAAGGAGGCGGCGGCAGGTACTCGACCCTGATGCGAGGCATCACAGGCTTGTGGTCCTCTTCAAATCCCTTCCTCAGACCTTCCATGCACTTTTCCTTGGCCTCAGGTTTGATCTCCAGTTTGTCAATGATCTGCCCGATGGTTTTCATCTCCTCCTCGGCCTCACCCATCCGACCCAGGGCCTTCTTGGCCTGAGCGATTTGCAGGTGCAAGCGGGTGGCAAACTTTTCAGGGCAGTTGTTTTTCAAGGCGAGTTGGGCGTCGCTGATGGACTCTTGGTAAAAGCCCAGGGTCAAGAGGACGTGACTGCGCTTCAGGTAGACCTGGCCACGCAGCTCGCTGCAGGCGGCAGGTGACATCATCAGGCTCTTGTTGTACGAAACGATGGCGCTCCAATAGTTGCTCTTCTTCAGCAGAACATCGCCCGATGTCATCAGCTGGTCAGGGTCGCTCCGGAGAACGAGCGGCGAAAAGATGTCGATCTTTTCTTCCACAGTCATGCCTTCAAAACGCTTCTGCAAACCACCAATAATGGTAGGCATTGCGCTGCCCCGGCAGAAATAATATATGTTGGAAAAGGAAACACGTGAATGCCAAGCAATCCATAAAATCAAACAAATTCTTACACCACTCGATCAACAGCGGAAGAATTGGATGCCGCCGTCATTTTTGCTACAATAAATCCTTGATGATCTCTTTACACGCAGGAATATCGCGCACAATCAGCCACGGGCGGGATGCAGTAAAACCTGCAGAAGTGAGAAAATCGGAGAATTTTCTAGGTTTAGTGACATGAAATATTTAAAACAGTCAGCAGCAATTTCCGAAAAGTTTATATGAATTTTTCGCAAAATACTTGAGGAATAATTCGAATTTTTCACGTCAAATTCACTAATCCATCCTAAATTTGCACACTTGACGCTTCTTAACTAACTTTTAAGTGATGCCTTACCGATAAATGATCAATTTGCGATTCAAACCGCAGAGAAAACAACGAAATTTCGCGAGAGAACGAGGCACCACGCCATCAGAATTTTCTCGACGCTCCGGCGTTGGCTCCGGCCATGATATGATGACGCAAAAACAAAAGATGTGCGAAAAGGAGAAGAAATTCGCGAGAGCAACGAATTAAAAGTTGACAAAGAATGTTGTAAAATTAATCAGATTGAGATTAAATCTCAAGTTTTAATTGCAAAAATGTCAGAAAAATCGCAATTATGTGATGAGGTTTTTATTTATCAACCACACATGGCCGCACAGGCAAAAAGTTGCAGAACTCGACGCTGCTCCTCTCTGAAAGCTCCACTCGCGGTTTCGCAGAATTTCAAATTCGAGCAGGGTGGAGGAAATTCAAAGGAAATTATTTAAAAAAAAGGGCGGGTTTGACATAAACATACCGACGTACGTTACATAAAAGGAGATTGAGCTGTGTTAAAATGGAATCAATGTAATGAATGTTAAAAAAGGGGCTTTCTAAGCACAGATATTATCTGCGTACAAGAATAAAATGTATTATTTGCAGATATTTTAAATTTTGATTACTAAAATCTCGACTCGATCATCTCTGTTTTATAATATATAATTCAAATCTGTAATCAATTGCTAAGTAAAGTATATTTTCCTTTAAACTGACATTTAAAAAAAATTCATTATTTCATTGCGGACCGGTCCTTTCCTTTCAGGATTAAAATTTATAAAATAAAACAGGAATTAATAATAATTTAACAAGGATAAAAGGATTATAATTTTATTGTTGGTAGACAAGCTTTAGTTTTGTGTTAAAAAACGTTGCAATTAATTAATCATAAACCATCAACAGATTGTACTACTTAGTTTAGGCGCTTTTACTAATTATATAAGACTAAGTCAGAATAAAACTTAAATCAGCACCTTATTATTGGTCAAAACTATATATGAAGTCATTCAATTTTTTTGAAGACGAGGCAGTGGTCAAGGTCAGGCAAGGCGTCATTGTTGTCGCCTTCGAAGTACCTCTTGGTGCTGGAGTGGAAGTGCCGCGCCAGCAGATCAATGGCAATGTGGCACTGGAGATCATCTCTCCTCTTTCCTACGTAGAACTCGAGGATTCTATTGCACAAGTCAAGTTTGTCTGGGGTGAACCAGTTCAGGGGGAGCTGCTTCATCCAGTCCTTGGTCAAAGCCGGAAGCTCCTTCAGCAGTCCGCTCTTTTTGTACTTGGGATTCCTCTTGATGAAGTCATGGGCGAGAGGATGGTTCTCCGACAGAGGCCAATTCTCGTTGCACGGCCTGCATTGGCATTTGTAGCTCGGCCCGTACCAATCCTTGTACTGAACTTGCCTTGAGGCTTTGGGGGTTTCCTGAAGTGAAAGGGGGAAATGAAGTAAATCCTTTCGCCAGCGTCAATGGGCCTCAGGGCTTTCAGAACAAAGGTCTTCAGGTGAGAACAAAGCGCGGCGTTCACTTCACACCCTACAGGAACAGACTTGAGTCGAGGGTAGAAGCTGTGGCCGACGACTCCTAATTTGCAGACGCTGAACTCGTCATTTTTGCACTCCAGCAACGCGTCACGAAAGAGTCCACTGTAGGTGAGGACGATGGGCATGGCCCTCTGGAGGAACTCAAGCAGACTGGCCTTCTTGTCCTTGTCGAGGCCGTCGATGCTCTCCACGACCTTCTCGAAAGTTTCGGACACTCCAACTTCACAAGTGGCCATTTCCGCCATGACTTGAATCTTCTCAAGGTTCAAAAAGTTTTTTAGTTCAGGGGAGGCGTCGCTCGAGACTTGGCCATCGACGAGCGCCCTAACACAGTTGTCCTTGCCAAAAGCTGCCAACATCTCCAGGGCCTGGTTGGACACTCGCACAACACTACAACCATTGGCTTTATCGCTCTCCTTGCTGGCCAACTCGTGGAAAATCTTTTAGGCCGGGGCACACACCACTTTGTGGTGCTTCTGCCACGCATCGTCTGCACATTTCTGGCTGCAGTACAACACCTGGAACACAAAAATATTTAAAAATAATCCATGAAAGTAAGTGTAAAAATGTTAATTTAAATTTTAGATGGAATGGCATTTAAGAGCTTTACTTAAAAAAGGATTTTTGGAGAGTTTGACTATTTTGAATAATTATGCTTATACGTACCTATAATTTCTTTTAATAAATTTGGTTTGCAAAGTTTCCACGTAAAATTTCATTTTAAAACTGATTGTGAGAGAAAGCATTAATATTGAAAATAGCAATTACGTTTGTTTTTTGGAAAAAATTTGATGAATAAAATACTTATAAATGGAATAGTAAGTTGTCTTTAGATGAACGAACAACTAAAATAATATATATATATATATATATATATATATATATATATATATATATATATATATATATATATATATATATATATATATATATAGTTGATAAATTAAAACTGGAACCCGATTATTTTCTTATCTTATTTAATTAAAAACAATATGACGAACGGTTGATATTTAAAAATATCATAAATTTGTTTTTCATACTAGAAACAGGTATCAGAGAAAATCAGTTTGAAATATTCATTCGTGGTGGAATAAGAAGTAAAACGCGGAATATTTTAATTAATTTGAAATTCATTCCATTCCTAAATAAATTTATTACCAGTGAGCAAGTTGAGCAAGGCTGCAGATTGAGGCACTGTTTAATACACTCCGAGCAATGGATCCAGCTGGGCTCGAGGCTTGTGATCATGGACGAGTTGATGTAAAACAAAGGGTCCTCTACGACCAGGACAACACCTAAAAAAATTTCCAATTTATATTTTAAACATACAGCAAACAACAAATTTCAGACCTAAGCTGATCCTCCTCCTGGCAATCAGACTGTTGTCCTTCTTGATGGTGAGAGCGTCCTACACTCGAGGGTCTTCAGGGTTCGGACCGCTAGTCAGAGGAGGCGGCGGCAGGTACTCGACCCTGATGCGAGGCATCACAGGCTTGTGTTTCTCTTCAAACTCCTTCCTCAGGCAGTCCTTGCCCCTCAACTTTGCCTCGGGTTTGATCTTCATTTTGTCAATGATCTGCTTGATGGTTTTCATCTCCTCCTCGGCCTCATCCTTCAGACCCAGGGCCTTCTTTGCCCGAGCGATTAGCAGGTGCAATCGGGCGGCAAACTTTTCAGGGCAGTTGTTCTTCAGGGCGAGTTGGGCGTCGCTGATGGACTCTTGGTAAAAGCCCAGGGTGAAAAGGACGCCACTGCGCTTGAAGTAGAGCAAGCCGCGCTCCTCGCTGCCCTCAGACGTCATCAGGATGCTCTTGTTGAAGGACACGATCGAGTTCCAAAAGTCGCCCTTTTTCAGAAAAACAGAGGCCGAAGTCTTGAGCTCGTCAGGGTCGCTCTGGAGGAAAAGGGGAGGGAAGAGGTCGGTCTGCTCTTCAATGTGCCGCAAAATACCACAACTATCGGCCAAAATCGCGGTCCTCCTGCATTGGAAAAGGACCAAAAGTTTGATAGCAAAATTCAATTATATTCTCACATCACTCGATCGTAGCTGGAAGAATTATTGGACGCCATAATTATCTAAGCATAAAATTATCCTAGACGCTCTCTCAGCCGCGGCGTTGGTAAATATTCTGCAGATATGGGAGAATCTTTATGAAATTTATATTGAAATAGTTCCGCAGCAAGTTCCAAAATTCGCTTGAATTCTTGAGGAATATTTTGAATTTTTCACTACTCCCGACCAAAATCTGCACACTTTACGCTTCTTCAAAAATCTTACGCGATGTCTCATCGAAATAACAAGAACGATTTGCGATTCGAACTGCAGGAAAATCAACGAAATTTCCAGATAACGAACCTTCTTTTTCGATTCGGCAGCCATGATAACAACAATCGGTGTGCGTAAAGAGGAGAAATTCGCAAGAGCAACGACAATTTGACAAAGAATTTAGTGACATTAAATCAGATTGAGATTAAATCTCACGTTTCAATTGCATAAATTCCAAAGTAATTGCAATTAAGTGATTTGGTTTTAATTCATCAACCGCACATCGTCGTACAGGCTTAAGTGTCAGAACTCGACGCTGCTCCTCTCTGAAATCTCCACTCGCTGTTTCAGAGAATTTCAAATTTAAGAGAATATTTAAAATAAAAAGGCGGGTTTTAATATTTATATGGAATCTCGATGCATAATGCTGGAGTATTATATAAAGAAGAAAAAATTTATGTTAAAATAGATTATGAATAGAATAGAATGAAGAATGTTGATAATTTTCAGATAAATGAAAGGTGTTTTTTTATACGAACAAAATTTAAAAAATGTGCCATCAGCTATTTGCACGGGCGGTCCGTGTTCCGTGAACGGATTTATAATAATAAATATAAGCTATTTGCACGGATATACAATCTCTGGTAGTAAATTTTATAGCAAAAAACCTCAGCTGTATAATTTAAAATAAAAGAAGAATTAAAATGTCATTAGAAAAACCTATAATAGTTGTAAACCTTTATTAAATGATGTGTTTTTTCATCAAGCTGCTGCATTAATATTAATAACGATTATACCGACTAAGTTAATTTGTAATTTGTGCGTGTTTTATATCAGCAGCGGCAACAAATAAAATAAAAGATTTATAAATTTAGTAAATTTATAAGCACTTGCATCACTGACCTGCAGCGTTGAGGGCGTCGAACTTGGTTCTTCGTCCGACAGATGGCGAGAGAAGCAAGAGTCGCGGCGGGGCCATCATGAGCGGCGACGGCGCCCGGTGTCTGCACGCGGCCGGGCCGCTGTGGCTGCTGCACGGCGACGCCGACGGCGACAGCGGCCCCGACGGCGACGAGTCGCCGCCCCACGCCGCCTCCACCACGCTGTCGATCGACGACGACCGCTGCAGCCGCCCGCACGACATCAAACTCACGTCGCGCCTGCAACACAAAATTAATTATAATTTTTTTTTCAATTCTCGTCTAATTTAATAGATATTAAAACTTAGGGCAAAAGCTTGTAAATTAATTATTATCATCAATAAACAATGATCTTAAATACCACACACATGGTTTAATTTAAAAAATAAAAATACAAAAATTCGTTTCTTTTTACAATTATTTACGTATGATTTGATAATATTTATATAATTAAAAATCAGAATCAGATACATAAAATTAATTATGTATATATGTAACAACAATTGAATTATGTAATTGTAGATGATTTATTTTGGCAAGAAAAATCAAAATCCTTCAGGCGCGCAGTTCATTGGAAAGTTCGTAGTTTCTTCAACACAGAATGTGTGACACATCATTTAAAAGGTCAGGTCACAAGGAATCGATTGGTGACCACAAACCTTTGCTTTACTGCAATCGCCATACCCGACCTAACGTTCTTTGAAAAAAATGTTGATTTGAATATTTTTTAAGCTTTTCGGCATAAAACACGTTTCCTCCACCGCTTCCTTATCAAAACATCTGTTTATCTATCTATTTCCGTTTCCCACATTTTTTTTATTCTGTACTTTATTTTTTATACTTTAGGGTTTCTCTATTTTCAGTTCATATACATCACTGGATGGAATAAAAAGAAGTGGTTAGATGTGTGCGAAAAAATGGGTATGCGAGTGCTGGGCACGTCTGTTTTGAATAAGAAACTGCCTTTTCGTGTTGCTGGATGATTTAGTCTGGGCAGAGAGAAAAGTGTGTGCCCAGAGAAAAGAATGGGCCGGCGTGCTCGGCGCGCAAAGTGCTCTCCACAGCTCTTTTCCCATTACACCCCCTAGCTCTTGTCGTTTATTGTTGCGTTTCCCAAAAAAATGCAATCCACCTTCACCGAAATGGACACACTCTCAACACTATAGAATTTGTTCGCAAAAGTTTTCGCATCAACCCTCGCGCTACTTTAATTCTGAATGATTCAAAATGCTTCGTTTTGCACAAAATAGTTTCTTGGTTAATTAAAAAATATGTATGTAATTCAAGATTATCAATTAATTTAACGTCAACTTGACGTAATCCATTTTTAAATTTATAAATAAGAAATTTATATTATTTACCTCACACTTGGCCATTTATTTGCTACAAGTATATGAAATAAATTTTTGACCGCAAACCCAATTTATGGGATTCACAGCAACAAAAAGAGCGAAAACAAAACGCGCCCTTTGACCGCACGCTCCGGTTTCTGCTTCCGACGGATCCGAGAAGCACAAACAGTATATTAAGGACCTTCCACTAAAATCGTTGCGATTTTCAAATTAATTCAAGCTCCATATTCAATTTCAGGTAATCAAACTTTGTTCTTTACGTTATTTACAGTAAAAAATATTTTTCTTGGCAAACTCCATACTCTCCTATACATATATCTATATTATTTTATCAATTAATTTCCTAGGAAACCATATTTATAAAAATAAAAAATAAGATAATTTTCCGGAAGTTTGCAAATTTTAGGCAATTATGCTAACATCTAAATTTGAGGTGGATTTCATGAATAATTGAAACCGGGCGAACCTCATTGCATGGAAAAAAGGACCCCAAAAGGCACATTACGAAGCTGTTGACGGACTCCTTTGCTTAATTAATTTTTCTGCAATTTGTTAGTTAAAATTAAATTCTCCCTGATTCTCCCGATAATTTTTTTTAATTCCTTCCACTTTTACAATGAGTTCTATTTTGACTCGACAAAACCCTAGGTTTTGAAAGTACCTGCAGACCGCAGGTGGCCTTTAGGGGTCAGTTGTCCTTTATTTTTACTTTTGCAACCAGGTTTGTTCGGTTGTTCAATTTTTCCATTAGTTAATTTGGAAATAAAATAAATTGAAATTTTAATACTTCTTTTTTATATCGAGTAGAAGATCAACATGTGTATTAATCTTGTGAGCAAAAGTGGCGCCTACTTCATCGTCGGAGTCAACACGGTGAGATTTTCATCAAAAATAATTTATTGGATGTTTAAAAAAAACTTCATATTACAGTTTAACGCAATTCTTTCGCTGATTTACGTCGGCCTCCTGGTGTACGGAGCTATTGCATTATACCCTGGTAACATTTTTAGTTTTTTATAAACAATTAAACGCAGCTTAAAATTTAAAAATCAACAGACACCGTGGCCGTGCCCATAATCATCGGAGTGATTGGAATCACGATTGTTTTGCTAATTTTGTTGCTGCAGTACCAGCTGTACCTGGGGGCCAAATTGGTCAGTTTCTTTCAACCCAATTTTAATTTTTTAATTATTTTAAAGTGACAATTGAACAGGACGACGCTGGCAAGGTGCAGTGCTGGCTGCGCACGTACATGTTTGTGATTTTTCCCATTCAGATCATTGGGTTGATTATGACGATCGTTCAAATTCAAAATCGGTGGATCGACCTGGTTTTGGGACTGCTCGCCTTGTGTAAGCGTGAAAAGCTCATAACTTCATTATATTCTCTCATAAATATCTTGACTTTTTCCAGCCTGGCTTATTCTTTCCGTCCGCGCAATGCACATTTACCGCAAGCAGATGCTCGGCCTAAATCCATCTACTACACTTCACCCTTAAAAATCACTCCTGATATTTGGAAACTTGCATTTCTTGGCCCTAAAACATGCCAAAAATAATTTATTCTCTTTTGGAGAAACCGTTCAATTAATTAGAATATTGACGAGATCAAATTTAACTCTTTCCTCAATTCCAATCAAATTGAGAGAAAACTTTTAATGTTCGTCAAGTTACGACATGATTTAATTATAATTTTTATCAACAACAATTTAAATAAAACAATGAAATATTTAAAGAATAATACTTTTTAGTAAAATAATTTTTAAAAACTGCCACTGTCACGAGGAAAAAGAATGATTGAGGCGCTTCGATGAGCATTTCTATGAGAGTATTTTGGTCAAGTCTTGGAGCCAATGGGAGCCAAGTATGATAAAATAATTTCAATAATTATAACAATTGGTTCTGTTTTGAGAAGAGAAAAACGGAGCCCAAAATTTATATCAATTAGTGATATCTTCCTTCTGTCTTACTCCTCATTTAAAAAAAATATTCTTAGTTCCTAAATAAATTACCAATGAAGATCGATGGTAAAAATTTGATGTCATTTTCAAGCAAAAAAAAAGTTTTTCCTTTCTGCTTAAAATTTAAAATAACAGTTTTTGTTATATGAGCATTATCAATACAGAGATCAAGGAATTAAGAGTCAATAAAACCATTTTATGTAATATTTGTTTCTAATTTTAAGAAAATTAAAATCTTGTGAACGGTCAAATTTTATAAAATGTTTATTTTTAATTAAATTGCGGGAATTTCTCTCGATTCGATAGCTGAGGTCACGATGAATCAATTATGGTGACATACGATCAAGCACACCGTGATAATTGGGGAGGAAACAACAAAAATTACATATTTCTCATATAAAAGTGCTCGATCTCCACTGCAGCTCTCATCATTTAGCGTTTCGCAAAAAAAATGCAATCAATCTTCAAAGGCCGAATTTGTTCCTAAACGTTTCCGTATCATCTCTGGAAAATGCTCTGCTATATGTAAAATTCAAAATCCTTCTTATACTTTGATTTGTAAATGTAATAAATAAATGAAAATTTAATTTACAAAAGTCACATTCGTTCAAAAATATTTAGATGTAGAGAAATATTTCTACATTGAGCCGATGTAGATTGCCGTGAACTTCACTTGAAATATTATGTAAATTATTTGGCTCAAAAATCAGTTGTTCATTATCATTAACTACCGAGTACACAAAATGTAACTTTGACCTCAAACGAGTTTCAAGGATTCAATAGCAAGGAATGAAAACAATTAATGCACTTTGACCGCATGCACTGGTTTCCACTTCCGACAGATCCAAATAGTATATAAGGGCCTTCTTCAATCATTGTCGAGCATTTGGCTGCGTCGAATTTGAGGTAATGCAACTTTGTTTCTTACTTTTACTACAATGATAATTAATTTTTTTTTTATTATTTTGCAATAATTATGCTTTGGAAATTATGATCTGTAATAACAATATCAATTAATTTGAAGTAAAATATATTATATTGTTAAACCATGAAATTTTTGAATAATTTTCTACAAAAATCGGTTCGGCAAATTGTAAATCACGTTTTTAATCCACCTATTACTTTACAACTTAATTTCAAATATGGTTTTGCAATTAATTAAATTAAATTTATTGTGATTTTCTTCTTCGTCTATTTTCAAGATAATTCTATCAACAAGGGGAAAAATGTGTAATCTTGCTAGCAAAACTGGCGCCTACTTCATCTTCGCAATCAACACGGTGAGGTTTCCATTTAAAAATATTTTATATCAGGTTTTAAAAGAAAAAATGTATTTCAGATTCTCGCAATTTTGTCTTTGGTCTATACCGTTTTTTTGATTTATGTGCTGGCTCTGTTATACCGTAAGAATTTTTCAGACAAAAACTTAATAAAAAAAATTCCATTAATAAAAAATCCACGTGAGCAGAACAGAAGGCTGTGTGGTTGGGCGTGCCCATAATCTTCGGAGTGATTGGAATTGGCGTCGGTTGCCTGATGTTGTTGCTTCAGTACCAACTGTTCCTGGGGGCCAAATCGGTCGGTTTCTTAATTAAAATCCACCTCTGCGCTTTTAATTTTCCAAGTGAATATCTCAAACAGAACGACCCTGGCAAGGTGCAGTGCTGGCTGCGCACGTACAAGTTCGTTATCATTCCTCTGATGATTGTTGAGTTGATCTCTGCGATCGCTAAAAGCCAGCACAGGAACTTGGTGTTGAGCCTCGTCGTCTTGGGTGAGCGCAACTAATTAACTCATCTTGATATGAATATTTTGATTCACTTTTGTCTTGTGGCAGCCTGGTATTGTTTTGCCGTCTACGCAATGCACACGTACCGCAAGCAGTTGGTCGTCGAAAAACAACCCACGCCGCGCCCCAGTCATGAGATATGAGCTCGACTTTAAATGGAAAAGCAAGACATGCCAATTATTGATCTTGAATTTCATTTTCATGTAACAATCTTAGTAAAGTTGTTAACCAAATTTAACTTTTCCTCTGCGTCATTTCAATCAATTGTTAACAAAATTTCAACGACTGATGCAACTGATTTTTATTGTAATTTTTAACTGCAAATAAAATATATAATCTCATTAAGATATACTTTTATAGTGTAAAAATAATTTTTAATTTCTTTCACTGCCACAAGAATAATGGATTTTGAAGCGCGGTGCGGCCACATCCTTCAATCTTTTCAGGAAAAACAGCATTTTACATGCAGGAGACGTGTTGAAATAAATGATTCTGTCTTGAGAGGCTTTGATAACAAGGAAGCTCAAAATTTTACAGTTTGGAAATGAGGCAATCTTTATTCTGACTCAGTTTTTAGAAACAAAATCACTCTTGCAAACAAACGGCTCAATTTATAATTAATTTTGATGGTAATTTTCCTCTACATTAGTTGGTCAGTTCCAGGGAGACGCATCAAAAGAAAAATTCAAGTCATGGGAAGAACTGAGAAGAACATTGATTTTTTGAAATCTTAATGGGAATATTCTTCTTTTCTCAAAGTTTGCTCGACCAAAATTGATCAAACTCACCAAAATCACGTTCATATCACCCCAATTAAGATATGGAAAAAATAACGACATAAAAAATTAACACTGATCTTAAGATACAAGCAGGGAAAAGGTTCATATAAATTTTAAAATCAGTGTAAATATCATTATCTCCATTATATATCGTCGTTAAGTTTTAACAAATTGATACCGATCATGGTTCTGTTCCGATCTTTGACAAGAGTGATGCTCAAAATTATTAATAATGCGTATGAAATGAGCCAATTCTGACGACTCCTAATTTGCTTTGAAAATACAATGTAGCATTTTTTGTGGATTTTTTTCAGTTTAATTAACTTTGTTGCGTTAAAATTCGTCTCGCTTTTATAACTGTTTAAAATATCTCATTTAAGGATTCAGTTAATTCACTGATTCGATTCATCCGTTCAGACGTGAAAAAATAATAAACAAATTAATAATATCAAATTTATTTGAAAGTTTTCAATAAAAACACAAATAAATTTTGGACTTTTAGAATTTAAAATATATTTATAAAAATAAACTTGATCGCCTTGCGTATGGGAATGAGATTGATATATAATTTTGTACCTTTCCCAGCTGAGTCTGCGCGGCTTTTCGTGGTCGCCGGCCGAGAGGTGGTTGTTGTTGCGGGCGTCGCTGGAAGCGCTCGAGGTGCTGCCGCGCTGGTTGAGGAGGCGCGACAGGCGGTAGAGGGCCGTGGGCTGCGGCGCCGCGCCGCCGCCGCCGCCGCCCCCCGACGACGGCGCCGTCAGGAAGAAGCGCGACTGCGGCACCGCCAGTCGCAGGCTCGACGGCACGCGCGGCTCCGGCGACGACAGCCGCGGTTTGTTGCTCCCTGCCAAGCAAAAGCCGACGATTTGTAATTAAAATTCTCAACGAATTTGCAAAATTATAAAGACTTAAAGCGAGAACAGAGGCAGGGAAAAGCGGGGAGAGAGCAACGTGTGTCCTGAGCTTTTCTTTTTCTAAAATTGGTGAAAAATAAATTATAATTTGGATTTGTTTGGCTCAAACTTTAGATGGAAAGTTTAGCTCATTTAATTTGATCTACATCAGAAGTAATTTGTGAAATGATGCATTATTTTGACTGAATTTAAAAATAAAAATAAAAAAATGGTCTAGAAATCTAAAAAAGCTACAAAATAATCCAAAAATTAACAGAGAGTCTCAAAAATTGTCTAAAAATCTAAAGTAGAGAACAATTTTTATGAAAAGAATATAAAAATATTAGTTTTTTCTTTTCATATTTTAAATCAGCATATAAACAAAGACTTTTTCACCAGTCTACAGTAAATTTTGTGCTATTCATTAACTCTTACAGTGTTGTTGAAAAGACCGCCAAGTTTACGATCACACACTCGTAAAATTTTATTCGGCGAAATTAGCCTTTGACGCCTCAATAGGTTTTTATTCTCCAGTAAGCAACTCGTCCTAAAGTTTACATTTTGTCACAACATTTTTCACACCCGGACCGAAAAAAAATTGCAAAAAAAAAATGCGTCAATCGATGTATGGGGAGGGAGGCGAGGTCAACATTGACCGGGTGTGGCGGATGAGTTTGATTTGAAAAATTGAGTGACCCGAATGTGACTTGGCCCGGAATAAAGAAGGAAGAAAAGGTCTCCGCTTCGGGGGATTAGGGTAGGCTCGCCCGCGATGCGGCAAAAGTTGTTGGGCTCGGAATTGATTTGCAATGAAGCGACAACGTCTCTTCGCTTCTCCTCCCAGACAAATTAATCAACTGCGCTGCCGTTTGCAATTTTCCACTCAAAGTCGAAAAGAGACGTTTCAGCAAAAAGGTTTAATCATTAAATAAATTACTTTTTAATCATTTGAAGTAATAAATTTTCTTAATTTAACTAATCAAATTCATATTAAAAATGGGCCAGCCTAAAATTGATTAATTTTGCAATCCACGGAATTTATTTCAAATTTCTTTCCATTTACCTTTGTTATGAAAAAAAAAATAAATAAATAAATATCGCGTGCCTTCCTAAAAAATTCCATCAAAATGTGTTCAGCAACAGATTAGTACAGAAAACCAATTTGCTTTTTATTTTTATTTTTTTACATTTGAAGAAATTCTTCCCACGGAGTCAAATTGATATTCATTCCGTGATTGGAAATATGAAAAAGATCGATTTGAGCGTGCGTGCCTCGGAGCCATCTCTCTCTATCTCTTTTCTGAATCAAAATAATGTTGGTCCGACGACTGAAAGTTATGCAGACCCGCTGGGTCCGTGCGTCGTGCAGGTTGCATAACTTTTGCTCCTCAACCGTTTGTGTTGCAGATTCGATAACGGCCTCTCGAGTCCATTCAGAGGCCGACGCCGCAGGGTGGTGTTAAAACGGACTTTTCTAATTAGTGCCGGTCGCTGACGACGATCCGCTCCTTGCACCAACTCCAATTAAGGTCGATGTTGATCGAGTGCCCAACGGAGCGTTTTCATGTAATGCAATTTTTCTTGCTCTGCCTTCAAAGCATGACAGGCAGATTAAGAGCTTTCCCAGCAAATGGAATTTTAATCTAATTGAACTTTGATAAATTATTCTGACGATATTTATTTTTGAAATTATTGAAAAACAAATTGCTAAGAAACTTTATAAACAACGTTCCGTAGTTTTGGTTTTAAACAATATTTTCTCAGCTTATTTTGTTTATTTAGAATATTTCTAGGTATAAATCAAGGTTGATCAATGCAATTTTCGGAAAAAAATGAAGTTTGAAAATGTAATTTGTGAAGTGATTCCTTATCCTTTAATAATTATTGAAAATAATCAAGATTGGAGATTAAAAAAAATTAGTCTCTGCGACAGTTTAAAGCAATTGACGATTATAGAATTTGAGTGATCTCATTGGTCCCAACAGCTCCCCTCATTGGAAAGGTCAGATCATGAGGAATCGATTGTCCAGGGTCACCAAAAGATTACAAGAAAAGGGCAAATTACTTTTTATAATTGTCTGAGAAAAGTTCCTCGAACCTAAATAAGCTGCTCTTGGTTTCATCATTTGGCCGAAATTTTCAATAGTGAATAAGTAAAATTTCCTTCCGGCTCTCTTTGCTGGAGCTGCAAAAAAATTCACGGCCGATTTGTCTTTGGTTGAGCGGGCAGACGAGTTTGAGGGATAATTTGGAGCCTGTGTGGTCATTTGCGTTCGGCGGGGGCGATGATGAAGCCACATCAAAGCGGCCCTTTTTCCGCTCCAATTTCAAGACCAAACCGGTGGAAACTCGGTCTCCTTTGTGGCGCCGCAAAAATCGGCGGCGATGAATGTGAATGGCCTGCAGCACCACTTTTATATTGAATGGAATTGAAAAAATAAAAGGAGATCGCTTTGCATTCATTAGAGACGAGAACCGCCGCAAATAAAAAACAAAAGGCTTTGATCCGTCTGATTGAGGAAGGAAAGAAGTTTTGTGTTTAAATGATTTACTGGGGCCTTTTCGGCTTAGCCGATCATGGGTTGCTTATTACGCAGGGAAATGGAAGCACCTGCTTCCCATTTATTATGCTAATTGCCGGAACGGAAGGACGACTCACTTGCCTCATAACTCTATTCGCAAATCGCCCAATGTTGTTTTTCCTTTGGCAGAATTGGCCGGTTGCGTGCCCGATGCAATTTACAACCGGAGAAAAATTGATCCTGAATGAATAAAAAAGGGATGAATTATTTTTTGCTGAAAGTATTGCGAGGATAACTTAATTCGTCGGTTATTTGCAGAGTAAACAGACATGCAAATTTGATCAAATGCAAATTCTGCCTCCGAACGACGACGGTCTTATTCAATTTGCACGCACGCATCTTTGCCGCCACGGCAGCGATTTTGCCCACCCTACTCACTTTGATTGAACTCCAAGCAGACCCTTTTCATTTCAAAGTCACTTGAAAAAAGATGAAATCTAGAAAGGAACTGAAAAAAGTCCTTTTGAGATTCATTTGAGTAAAACCGCCTATTATAAAAAAAAAATAATCAATCAATTTAAAGAGTTATTGATTTCCAAAGTTTCCATAGACTGGCAGACAACTTTGTTATTTGCAAAAGTTTGGAAATTATTAATATAAGAACTTCAAGAAAATGGGATTACTTGGAATCTCAATAAATGCACAATTTGATCAATTTACTATAACTTTTAGACCTTTCAAATAAAAATTAAATTTTTATAATAAAAAAGGAACTTTCAATACAATTTTAATTGGAAAACGCATTATAAACGTTTATAATTTGATATGCAATGATTTCAATTTACAAATAAAACTAATTTTTTGCTAAAGAATTTACATAGAACATCGCAGAGCATCTAATTATTGACATTCAAACCACATCTCAGCGCAGCTAAAGTGTGCAGTTAATAAGCAGCGTACGTGTTTTTGTTTTTATACACACAAGTGTGGTAATTGCAGGGGTTGCAAGCGAGGGAGGGGGAGGCTGAGCTACTCACACTCGGTGGACACGTTTTCGTCGTCTGTAAAAGAAATCTTGGGCGGCTGCAGCCTCAAAATGGACTTGGATTTCTGCTGCGGCGGCGTCGCCGAGCCCTCTCCTTCAAAAACACATTCTCGATTAAATTCCTTTGCTCTGCAAAACTTTTGCGACTTCTGCGAAATATTATGAACATGATATGGGGGAGGAGGCGAGTGATGTGTGTTGGTGAAATCTGGTATAAAAATTATTTCCCTTACTTTTTCCTTTCAACCGCGATCCCAGCAAGGTTTCTTTCGTCTTTTTATCCGCTGTAAAAGTTTTACAGGCCGATCACTTTTTCTTCCATTGAGTTTTTTTTTTTATCAATATTGAAGATAAATTGAGTGAGAGAAAAATTGGTACTTTTGAAAGCAGATTTTGTTTTTAAAAGTGGATGCGTTGCATGGTGCGAGCATAAATTTGTGATGTTTCGGCCTCGAGTTCAGAGCAAACATTTGAACTTTTCGGCTGCTCACTTTCAAAGGGTTCGAAAACTTGTGAAGCCCTGCTCTCTGAATTCGAGATAAACACACAGACATTTTCACTTCTCTCTGCTCCTGACGCGAATTACCAAAGTTGGAATTTAATCAAAAGTGAGAGAGAGCGAAACTGAATCAAATTATAAGCAGCGGAATTATTTCTGAGAAAATGATTTTCACCCCCGCAATAAGGGCGGCCCCTGGGGCGGAAAATCCCATTTAAAGAGAGTTGCTGGCGACAAATGGCTGTGGTGGCCAAAGTCCCAGGCCTGGACATTTCCCCCGCGGGCCCTGCACTGCGCGCCGCGCACAAACTCCACTTTTCACTCTCGTCCATTCAAATTAACCTGCGTAATGCACGCGCACTCTTTCCAAATCTAATTAAAATTAATGACTTGCTTTTTGACTTTCCAACAAAATTAATACAAAAGACGAAAAAATTATTTATTTACAAATTCTGGAACATTGTGATTTTCCAATATTTTTTTCTCCAATTTATTTGTAATGAAATTTTTGAAAAAAAAAATCCACGGAATACTTAACAATTTGCTCTTGAGACTCTCTCTTAATTTTTAGGTAAAAGATTTAAATACGTATTTGTGCCAAATTGTAATAAAGCGATTTTCATTCCAATTGAAAAATATAAATGATAGAAAATATTTAATTTAATTAATAGAAATTCAAATATTTATAAATTTCATTGAAAACCGTTCTTTGCTTCTTTTTGCTTTAATATTTCTGTTGATATAAAAGGGCCGACTGATATTTGCATAAGTCTATCAATTGCTTATAATAATTAGGGCAAAAAATTACAGCCCGTTTATAAAATGAAAATAAATTGACTTATCAAATAATCCTCGAAGCGTTTCGTGATTTTCCAGCATAAATAAGCTCTTCGTCTCGTAAATATAAACAGCAGCTTTTCCGTTTACAGCGATTGTGTACATTTGGTTATTTGTCGAGTTGCAAAAAGTGGCGCGTCCTTGGGGCGTTTCCTCGCTCCGAATCCGGCCCAAGGTCGGCCGAGGCAAACGTGGCATTATTTTTGCCATTCGACTTTCTTTGTACGTCGCGCACTTGCTGAGAAATTGCGCTTTTTCAACCCGTCAGCCCGCCCGCGGCCTGATATGACTCGCGAAATTTGTCTTTTTCAACAAAAGGTCCTTTGACTCCTCGCCATTTATAATCTTCAGCTTAATTCATGCCAAAATATAACAAAAGGAAGATGCCTTTTCAAGTGTTAACCGCAAATTCCTTTAAAAAGATGGATTTTTGAGGGTTTTAGAAAGTATTTCAAAAGTTTAGTCAAAGATATTGAAAATTTTTAAAAATAGGATAAACAAGGGAAAAAACAGGAAAAAAACTAACATTCAAACTCTGAATTTTCTAAAAATAACTAATAATGTTTGTTTTTTAACTTTTTAAAATTATAATGCATCAAAACACTTAAAAATTTCAAATAATTGGTGAAAATCAAAATTAATTTATAATCTTAAAATTCCTTGAACTATTTTCAACCTTCAATAAATCATTTAATTTTTTTTATAACGACGTGAGAGGTGTTTTCGAATGAGTCGCTGGGCACTTTAAATTGTGTCAGATGGCGCGTCGTAAATTTGCATCTGCTGATTAAATTAGAGCAAATGTGTCCGGCCGATGGTCTCGTCTCGTCGCTCTGCAAAACACACCCCGAGCCGAGCAGCTTTGACGTCATCTCGCCACTCTGTTGTTATTTTTCATTGCTACCCTTTTTTGCGGCGGACACACGGCGATTTATGACATCCAAGCTCCATTTCCAGCCGCGACACGACCCACCTGACGCACCGATCCGTCTCCGCACCCCCAACAAAATGCGCAAACACTAAATCCAAATGTGACATTTTCCGATCGAAAGTAAAAGAATTAAAGCAGCCAATCAGGTTGGAAATTAAAATCTTGTTTGAAAATATTCTCACTTATTCAGTTTAAAAGAAGCTAAAATTGTTTCAATTTTATAAATTTAATTTTGTTTTTGTGTGTTTTTTTCTAGTTAAAATTTGATGGATTTTTACTAACATTAATAAAAATTTTAGACATATTTGATTAATTTTCTAATGAAATTTTTAATTGAGGAGAAATACTGAAATTGAAGCGCTTATTTCCGCATGTGCAAATTTTCGTTTCATCCGGCGCGGCGCAACGGAAAATTAGCCACGCGGGGTTTTAATGCCGCGCGTTGACTCTATTTCCGGCCTTTTCCCTGCAGATGCCGAGTGCTCATTTTTGATTAGGCGTCGACGGAATTATTAAAACAAAAGAGCCTCATTTGCACCTGCCTGCAATAAAAGAGATACTTTGGGCCGAATTCGCCAACGGATTTACGACGGCCCGGGCCTCAAATAGACGCGAGGGGGACCGAAAATTGCTGTTTTTATTTCAACTCCTCCCCGTGATAAAAATGAATTTTGCCTTCTCTGCTGGAAACCTGGACAAAGGCTAAAAGTAAAATCTGTGCAATTTTAACGCCAAAATGAATCAAATTTTAAACAATAATGAAATTGTTTTGAAGAAATTTTTTATAATTTTGAGCGTTTATTATTTTTGCAAAGGATTTTGTGCTCAAAATCGATTGTTTTTCTTAGGAAATAATAAATTTAATAGAGTTTTTAAAAATATTTTGTGTACCTCTACAAATTTTGCAGCTTTTAATAGATCATTTTCCCCGCCTGAAATACTTCTTATTACATTGTGATGTTGTTCTAGTGTCAGAGATTTCATTTCCTCATTTTACATTCATCATTTTTCTTACTGCTCGGAAATCTTATTCGTTTCTTTGAATGCATTCATTATTCAAGCTGATTCAAGCGTACGTGTTTAGAAACAGCTTTTCTAGTTGCAATGAATGAAGGCGAAGGGATTAAGCCGTTTTCGCAGCGTCTCGTGTCCTTGAATTTGGGGTTGAAAGATGCAAAACTCTAAGTAAGGAAATCGATCGCGCGGGGCGGATAGGCGGGCGCGCGCGTGACGTTAATTAGGAAAAATTTATCGCGTGCGCGGCTGAAATTGGTGCTGACTTCATCAAGTTTCTTTTATAATTTCCTGCTGACGCGCCGACGAGGGACTAAACAACCCCTAACAAGCACCGACTCGACGCTGCAACCGACTCGACGCACTTCACCGCATCAACCGCACAAGAACCAACGAAGGACACTTGGGATTTTAATTGGCGCGGCGAATCCAATAACCTGCTTAAAATTAACCAAGACCACTTTTCTACGCAGAATTCTAATATAAAATTTCTACAAAAAAAGACTAAAATTCAAATTTCTTTGACAAATAATCCGGAAATTAAAAGTATCTGGATTTAATTTTCACCCATCCTTTGGAAGTGCATCGAGATACATTTTCTAAAATATTTCATAAGAATTTTTCTCTGCGCCAACCCATAATTTTGATAATTTAGTACAAAGGTCAGAAAACACCTTTCAAAGGTGGCGTATTTTTTTGTTTTTTGTAGTAATTTTTCTATTTCTCTTGTACAAACATGACACTGACGTCAATCAATAGAAAATTTAATAAGCTTTCAAAAACTTACTAATTTTATTCAAATGTCGCTATTTTTGGCGCCAAAATTTCTGATTGTTTGAACAAAGGTAAAAAACTTCATTTTTTTTCTCTTTGGTTTTTTAGCTCCAGCTCTTGTGGAAAACATTTTAAAGAAAATTGTTTTAAACAAAACTTGTGGGAAAATTAATAACTTTCAAAAACTTACTAAGTTTACTTAAATGAGACAATTTTTGGCGCGAAAAGTTTCAATCATTTGAAAAACAAATTCAATTTAGTCCTTTTTCATTGGTTTTTTTAGCTCCAGCTTTTCAAAAAATCATGATAGAGGGAAAAGTTTCATACAAAACTTGTAGAAAATTTAATTTTGCACACTGTTTGTATTTGAAATTTTCCTCTAAATTCAAAGCGATAAAAGTAATAAAACGGGAAAAATTGAAAAATGAGGTTTCTTCTCATTTTATATTAACCTTTGCTTCCTCTGGACTTAAAATAAATTAGCTGCTGTTTGACGAATCGGGTTAAATTAAGCAACAGGCACGCTCGAATCTAATTAAATTTGTTAATTAATTTGCCTGCCGAATCAACTACCCTGCTGGAGTATATAATAAAAGACAAACAGCCGCAATCAAGGGGTGCGCGCCACAGGGGTTGATTTGGCGCCACCCTGAAGTGAATTGCGCCGAATGGGGTCTTATTGTCCCGCCTCACTCCAGAGATATCACAATGCAGGTGTCGCCGAACCAAACCAAGCCGAGCGTGACTCGAATATTCGCCATTCAGCTCAGCCGCACCGTCCAAATTAATTGCATTCGTCAAATAATCGCGACCCGTCCGTTCGGAAACAAGGTCAATTATCCAGGCCAAAATCACAGAATTTCACCTCCGACCCAAATTGTGCAATTAGATAATTAGTTGATACCCTACCTATAATATGCTTTAAAATGGATTTGAATATCATTTAATCGCATTGACAGTTTTATTCGTTCAATAAAAGTTGTTTGGTGAAGGTTTTTATTCAAATCAATGGTTAATAAAAATTATAATTTATTCGTTT